CACACACACACACACTTTGATCAAAATCATTTCATTTAGAAAAACAGTGAAGATCAAAAAGTTATGTGGTGGGTTGGGATGCTGCAAAAGTGCAATCTAAGTCATTGTAAACTGGTATGGCTTACACTGTTCCACACTTGCAGGTGGGGCATCAAATCGGTGTTTGTAAGAAGATTAAAATGTTTTTATGGTGGGGAGGTATGCTGCAGAGGTACATTTTAAGTCAGTTAACTGTTATGGCTAACTCTGCAATATACTTTCTGCTAGCAAGTCTACTCATATGTAAGGGACCATTCCCACAGATATTTGGGTCATCTATCTCCCTGGGGAGACTCACTAAATTGCTATCAACTTAACGGACTTAAATGTCTGTGACGCCTAGTAAAACTGTTAGGGGGTAATTATCTTTACCCCCTAACTGTTTCGGTAGACGTGACAAGTTGATAGCAATTTAGTGAGATTCCCCAGGGAGGTAGACGATCCAGGTGGATCAATGTAGGCATGGGAACCCAGTCTAAGAAACGTTTGTAGTTAAGGATTTGCATGTATTCCTATTTGGAATTTTCCTGCCAAATTAAATTTTCCTTGAAAAAAAGTAATTTTCTCCAATTCGCAAATCATTGCTTGCCCATCCTGTACTTGAATTTTAATGTTTTATGCCATTTAAATTGCATGATTTGGTTCTAAATTTTTAATGTTTAGACAGCCATGTCTTCCTGCACATTTGAGAAAAATTATTGACAATAGGTGCTTTTATTTTTGAAGGTATTATCATTTCAAAGGTCTAACTTCACTCACCTACAGGCGGAGTTAGCATTTTCTTTATCATCAGAAATGCCATTCTTTGTTTTCACTAATAAAGACTGCAACCTGAACTTTAGTTTTGCTTGTAGCAATGCTGTTTCTTTAAAATTCAGTTTCTATCACTGACAATATACTGTATATAACCTACATACTTATGGAACTTTTTTTATTCTGCTGCAGATTAATTTTAAAGAAAAGAACTGCATATGAATACAAACTCAGAAGAAGAACTAAAAGAAAGGAAGATTATTTGCAATATATTCAGGTATGAAAACTGTAGACAGCAGAATGAAATAGTTGTAAAATGATATTTTATGCATGCTAAGTTTTATGAACATTTGAATGTGAAAAGTGAAACAGAAGAGTAAATTAACTAATGCCAGTACTTGTAGCAAACTGTGTTATAAGAATCTGTGTTATATAAATCCATACATTCCCAATGAAACTATTGTTCTAGGTAGAGCGATCCAATTCTGCAGATACTCGGATTAATAGATTAACACACTTTCTCTTGTTTCCAATGTACATGTGTAATCACCAGCTTTTCTGTATTCTACTAAATCCCAGGATGAGGCATGTTAAATTGTTCATCTGATTGCATTCAGCAAGAGTCCCCATGGAGTTGGATCGATCTACCTTGCACAATAATTTTATTGAAAATGAGCCCTAAAGAAAGAGGCATGAGCCAAGTATGGGATTATAAAAATGAGGCAAGGTCCAAATATGAACTAATATTATAGAGATTCATAAAAAATTTTTTTTCTTTGTTTCAGTATGAGATCCATCTGCTGTCACTTGTTAGGAAGAGAAGAGAAGTAATTTTTTTTTTGTCGTTTTTTTTTTTTGCTTGTACAGTTAAACAGCTGTTTGCATGTGGTAGATTTTGCAAAAGCATGGCATGGCGAAATGTTACATGGCTTTGCTTAAAGGGATAATAACTCTTCGTTTCGGCCAAAAAATGAATTTTCCTGGAGTAAACAACAATTTTCTTATACTTACCAATGGTTAATGAATCCATTTTTACATTCAAAGTTAGTCCCTGGTTTTTTTCTAAAAAGTTTGGTTTTTTGTTAAAATCTCTTAAGAGATTTCAACAGAGTATACCCAGCAATGGAGGTCACATGGTCTAAAGTCAAGCTCAGATATCAGAATAATAGCTATAACTGCAGTTTTTGTGGTAAAACAGAATATATTATATTTCTATGAGTTGTTTACAATGTTTTTATAGTGAAATATATATTTCATACGAAGAGTTATTATTCCTTTAAACCATTGAGTACCTGAAGAAGGCAAACAAGTTGAAAGCTCAGACATTGTACCAAACACAGTAGATTTTTATAGATACATTTAAATGTTACTGAATATGTATTTCTTATGGTTTGTCAGAAAGATTGTGATTCTTATTTGCTATGTAAGTGCAAGAAATGTGTAAATTCAATTTATATGTATAAAATTGTTATAATAGTGTTTATATATTTGTTCCCAGAGAACTGGTTACATGTTTAAAAGAGAAGAGATTGATGTGTCCATAATACAAAGAATACATCGATTATTTAGGGTATGTTGACAAGACTCCTGGTATAAGAGCTACACTGCTTGCAAATACATTCTTTATCTTAGTCTACACTTCTAAAATAAAATGCCTAAGGGTGGATAAATGCACGAGTACATTTTAATTGAAGCAGTACTGGCACTTAAAAGAATATTGTGTCTATAGTCCCATATTTCATGTTGTAAACTGACTATGCAACATACATAACATGTAGTTATATTACTTTATTTGTCTTCCAGTTGGCTATTTATAGGTTTCAGGTAAGCTTTTTTTGCATTAATTCAAAGTTTACAGAAGTTACACACTACTAACATTCTTGGTACATACGTATGACAGTTGCCATTTATCCAGACCAGAGAGTCATGGTAAACCTTCAGTAATACATAAGGTGTTATAGAAAATTCTAGATATTTATTTTAGCAAAATATCTTGCAGTTTTTGTGTAAGTTTAACTCTTTTGGTGCATTTTGGTAGTAAATAGCCATATTCACAGTAGTCCATGGGTCAAATATGGTGGACCCACTTGAAAACTTTCCCACAGGGAATCTTTTCAGTGTCTATCAGCGGATTAGACAGCAAACTTTTTAATCGGTCTCCATATTTGTCCCGTGGACTAGTTAGTCTGCTGTTCTGAATGGAGCCAATGATCTACAAACTTACATTTAAAAGTACAGCTTTTTATACTGATTTATTATTTGGTGGTGGAAAGCTTCATACTAGACCAGAATATGTGCAAAAATCTGTGACGAGCAGGATTAACTTTTCATCGATAAGGTTGAAACTCAAAGCACAGGTTATGTCAGCAACACAAAGTGGCTCACAAAACACTGTTTTGCACTACACTAATTTGACAGAATTTGAGAGAAAACAACTAAAAACATCTATGAATATATTTTATCAAATTGTATTTGTTACTGCACTGCACTTGCTAGTTTGGTGTTATTTCTGATCTCACTCCTCTGAATCCCACACAATCTCATTCAATTTTATATATTTTATGTATTATTTTGGGTTAATTCATATGATTCACATTTTTTTTTTGTTGTTGAACCTACAGTTGTTAAATGGTTCATATTTTTTTACTACCTATTCTAGGATGATTTAAAGTTATGGTTATCGCACATTGCCTTTAGCAAGAAAAGGGTAAGTTGAATTGGATGGGTTTTAGAAATGCATTTTGTAGTCTGTAATATCAGTGTGTGAAACAGGAAAAATGATAAAGATCAGTTTATTTGTCCACAACAGTTTGTAATCATACTTTGATAAAACATAAATTATTATATTATAGTTTAAAGACAATGTGGGTTATATATTTTATATCAATTTATAAAGACTGTTTTTCTTGATAATTGTTAGATGAATTGAAAACCTTGCTGAAATCTTTAAATTACATTTGTAGTGAAAAATGCAGAAATTTGAAATCGTGTGAGCAGGCTTATAATGGGTTAGATGATTACAAAAATAAACTATTATAATTTTATCTGGAAAACGCAAGTAGATATTTTGATTTTTAAAATAATGACTTAATTGATGATGACATGAGACATGAAAGAAAGAGTATCAGAAGTCCTATCAAAACTTTCACATCAGACTCAGTAATTATAAATTGTCTGTTGACAAAACTCTTTTGTGTACTCTTTTTTAGCATGAGAAGTCTTCTGTTAGCAAGATTTTCACCAGAATGCTCCAAGTCCATAACAAGAACCCAGGTACTATTGATATATTTATTTCATTCAGCATAATTTGACAACCAGCACAGTTAAAGCTTATCATCACAATTTTACTTTGACTTTTTGAATTGGGAATATTCAACAACAAATATTTAAGAGCATTTTAGTAAACAAAAAAGTCCAAATGGTTTCTGTTGATTTGGTCATGATCTTTCATACATGTTTTAGAGATATTTCAAAATTGATGCTGTATGTCTGAGAGCCCTATTATAAAACTAAATTTTAACCTATGGTTTGTAATAGAGCTTTGGGTTATGGCAGCCAAGTGGGAGTTTGAAGACAATAAATCAACAGATAATGCCAGGAATCTACTCCAGAGAGGACTGAGATTTAACCCAACTTCACAAGTATTGTGGCTAGAGGTACATGTTTTTTCACTTAACCATTAAAAAATTATTATCTAATCCAAATAGCATAAAACGTTAAAAGAATATGACAGCTGGCATGAGCTTCTTGTTGATAAAGACTTACTAGGTTATGAGAGACATTTTATTGATAGTATTGAATTGTACTGGGTGTTTCCTTGATATTAAACAGTTTACATTTCACTGTCCACATATATATTGCTAGTTCTGTGATTGGTGTATTGAAAAGTTTATGTTAAATGGAGTTACAAATAAAATTATTTTTATTTCAGTACTATAGGATGGAGCTGCTGTACGCTGATAAAGTGAGTATACTTCTTTGTATGTGATTTTATTAGAGAATATAATTGGTAAATGTTGGTTTAAAAAAACAGTTGAAGTAGGCTATCGTATTGAGCAAATTATTTTTATAAAATATATAAATTGCTTAATGTTTTTTTTTAAATTTTTTTTATATAACAAGTTTTAAAAAATTTTTTGTGAAACTTTTGTTTTTCAGGTTAAGAAAAGGTTAAAGATTCTTGGAACCAGTCTTGATGAGGTACACACAACTTGCATAAAAAATGCAAGACCCAATTTGGTTAAAATCTGTAAATTGGTTTGCTTCCACCACCAGGGCAAAGGATATTTGAAAAGTTTTAATTGTCTGCGAAACTAACTTGATTCACATAAAGACTGAGCACCATGGTACTTATATTGTGTAGTATGTAGCTCATTGTTGTTAGGTCTTTGAGAAAGACTATAATTTATCTGTGTAACAGAAGTGTGAATGTGATTACAAGGGGAAGGGATTGGCAGAACCACCTTATTTTTAACACATATCTCTCCAGGAGTTTTTTGGTGAGTTTACTGATTACTGATTATGATTTACTTATGAAGGTGAAAGTGGTTATTTTTGTACATTTTGAACAAAAAGTGATAAGTAGTTCAACCAGAAAATTCAAGAATGCAGATCGCTTTTTGCAAGTGCCAATCAAAGTTAGGCATAGAAACTTGACATATTTGTTTTTTAAATTGCCTTCAACAAAGGCGTAAGGGTGCAGATGAGGGTGGGGGATTATTCACAAATAGTGATAAATTCAGTTTAACTTATATCTCTAGTATGTTACATTTTTCTGTTAAGTCTGGCAAAAAGTACTAGTCTTTATGGGCACTAATGCTGTCATACAGAAGTGTTGCACCATCAGTTATGTCATTAAATAATTCTTATCTGACAGGGAAATGAGACATCAGATGCAGTATTGCAAAACAAAATATCTCCTGTGGTATACAAGAATGCTTTGGAAATATGTTCAGGTAAGAGTAAATGCCTTGAAGGGTATAAAGAAGGGTATAAAGATTGGTTACATAGCTCAAAGTTGAGTTCACAATCTATCTTACAAAAGGCTTTTTTATGCAAAAAAAGATCAGGTCAGCTGTTCAACATAGATTGTCTCAATTTTGTAAATGTCCCCATTTCTACCTCTGGGTTAAAAACAGTTGTCTCAGATGATTGAAAATTGGTGCTACTGTTAATCATTTTCAACTTTGTAGTCAGTTTAAATAGTTATTATTATATCTTGTGATTATTTGGCTCTGTTTGCATGAATATGTGTGGATTTACAGATAAAACTTGACTGTTTTCTTTCTTTTTTTTTGTTTTTAAGATGTGAAGTTCCATTTGTCATTCCTAGAAATAAGCAAGTTGTTCAGTTTCACAGAGGACCATCAAAAGGAAATACTGCATGAGTAAGTTTGCCATATTCCTAATGCTCCACATGATTTACGATCAAATTTTACCATAATTATTTACAATAAAATAAATTTATGTAAGAAAATTTGACTCAAGCTGGTGTCCTTTTTTAGTTTAATTGAGCTTCATGGAGACAAAGAGCTGACATGGGATGCATTGGCAAGACAGAATATCAAGCCATTAGTTGACGGCAGCTCAAAAAAGGAACAAACAGGTATGGAAGAATAGCATTATACCAAGCTTTTGCTATATTGATGCAAGAAATTAAGGTATTAATATTGATGATCAGTAAGGTGAGAGCTATTTGTCAAGAATGATTATCCCGCATACAAACAACTAATAGTTAGTTATACAAGGGGTGAAATAATTCATCTAAGACACAGTTTAACACATTCAATCGTTACTCTGTCATCAAGCATATAAAAAGACAGATAGACTATTACCTCCCCTGTATACTGTTTAGATTCCAGATCAGCAGGTCCTATTACTTCTACCAAAAATACCAATTTTTTGTTATGCAGCCAGTGTACTTTTAGATGTCTTTTTTTTTGAGAAAATTCTTTTCAAAAACACTGGCCCTTGGTTTATTTGCACAGCCACACACTTAGCTGAAAGACATGACTTAAGAATGTACAAGCTTCAAGTGACCTTGCCATTTTCTCATTTGGTCACACAATCTTGCACTACAAAATTAGAAAAGATGGTGTCCCCAATGAATGTTTTCCTGATGTGTAATATCAAGTTTCAGTTTTATGTTATAATAATGGGTATGACGGTTTTTCTTAAAATCATCTGAAATCTATAGTGTATGCATTACTAAGAATTAGGAAGGCACTTCATGAATTTTAGAAAGAGGTATAATGTAAAAATGGTGCTTAGTATGTTTTCATTCAACATGATGAGTCCATTTTTAGTTCCATGGATTTAAACTCAGATCAGGTAATACTTTTTGAAAAAATGTCATTGAAAAAAAGTTTATTTACTATGTATCATTAAAATGTTAATTTTTTCTTTTTTGATAAAGAAATTGTCACTACAATATTTTTTTTGAAATAGAATAAATTTTATTTTAGTTTTTAGAAAAATTCATTGTAGCCATTGATAAGTATTGTGGAAAATGATCTCTTTTCTACATTTTTCGACAATTTTAAAATCTCTTTGTTACTTCAATATTTTTAAATAAAATACCGGTCCCAGTGAATATGTGATTTCATTGATTAAATTCTTAATATTTATATATCTTTCATTGTGTAGGAATACATTGCTTATACTTAAAAACAATAATATTTGAAATAAAAGCTTATTTTCTTGGTCAAATTTTAGCTGCAATGGAAAGGATGGAAGCAGATTGTTTTGCAGTTTATGAAGAAGCAACACAGAGGCTAACCACAAGTGAGTTCTTTTGCATTGTGATTGCTGTGACTATTTTGGTTGTGCAGGACTTTTCACAGTGTTGCTTTAGTTGTGTTTAGTTTGTTTCCTTATTATTATTATCAGGTATCTTCTTTGCTCATTGTACTTCAGATATTCTGGACTATAATTTTACCCTGTGTAGACTTTTACTGCCAAATTGAATTTCTTCCTCAAAGAAAAAACCTACTCACAAATCATCGCTTGACTCATTCCTACACTTGGATTCAATGTTCTGTACCATTTCAAATTCAATAATTTAGTTCTAAATGACTGTCCAGTCATTAAGAGCACCATGTGTTCTGTATATTGCAGAAGAAAAAAGCAGCATCAGTTACTTTTATTTCAAGGGGCCTGATTTGGGAAAGATGAGGAGCTGTTCAGAAAATGTAGACATTGAAAATATGACTTTTCAAATGCAGATAGGATACATCTATAGTTTCTGTTGACATTATGTACTACACCAGTGATAGGGGCTAAACAAAGATCAATAAATTAAGTAAAATATCTTAATTTAATTTTTCTTGGCAACCATTTGTTAGTAATTTGGCAGAAAAACAGATTCTTCGCTGTAATGTTGATTTAAGGTCGTCATCACTTGGCAGCGTTAGCAACACGTAAGTGGCATTTAGGAATAGAAAGCTAGGAAGTAGAAAGCTAAGCACTTAGTCATCTACAACTGTTTGTAGGGTTAGTCCAGGGCAAATGGCAGAGTGTCATTGCACCAATCTCACTAAGAGTAGGGTAGGTGGGAAGTGGGGTGGGGGTGGGGGGGGTGTGTGACTCAGGCTGCCTAGAGTGACTAATATGCTTATTGCAATCAGGCTGTGTACTTTCTAGAGTTAGTCTGAAAACCGCTTTGTCTTGTGCTGGATGTGTCTTAAGAATTTTTTTTTCATTTATTTTAATCTAACTTTTGATATTTATCCTTTATTTTCGAAAAAAAAAAAAAACTTCTTGAAACCAAAATTATATTGTACAGAGTTGTTTTTTACTTTTTGAAATTATTAATGAAGCTTAAACAATGAAAATTTAAAAAAAAGATGATGTCTATAGATCAAATAAATTTTATTTTAATTTTTAGAAAAATTCATTGTAGCCGTTGATCAGTATTGTAGAAAAGATCCCTTTTCTACATTTTTCGACTATTTTAAAATCCCTTGTGTGTTTCTGTTGTTGTTGCTTTGTGTATTTTAAAAACATATTTTGTCGAAAACTGTGTTTGAGCAGCAGCATATGAAGTTTCTATCTTTACCCATGTCACGGTTGTTTACTGTAATTTGATAGCCAGCATATCTGTCTCTCAGCTTACGCCCAATTAGCAGGGAAGAAAATGTCAGGTATTTTCTCCTGATTCATGTAAGCTAAGAACCATGGGAAAGAAGTTGGCACTCCCTCATACAGAGTCCATATATTTGTGAGATCAGAATTGTGATTTAAAAGTGATGTATTTAATATCTAACCTTAATTCAAAAATCTAAAATTTACTAAAAAACAAAATACAAGTAAAATATATTTTAAATGGATGGAGTAATAATAATTTGTTTATTAAAGAAGTGTGTTTTTAAAATAATTTTTTCCAATGATCATAAGGACACAATTGGTATAGGTCTAGATAAACAAAATGCTTTTTTAAGTTTTTTTATTAATAATAATTTATCATAGAAAGTCAGTTTAACTGTATTACAATATGATCTGCCTACTATGACAGAGTTACAATTCTTCACCAACATTACAACTAAGACTAGAATTTGTAACATGGCACATGCTTGGGTCCACATTTTGTAATAACATAAATAATATGATTGATTTGCAATAAAAAGTGTTTATATACAACTAATTTAAGTGAATTCAAATGAGCATATTTATCATAGTGGTCTCTTTCTGTCATGGGTTTGCTACTGAAAAAGCAATTGACTGTGAAGGAAATATAGACACATGTCACACACAGCATCCTTATTGATGACTTCTATTAACATAAATCCAGCAAATCCAGCAGATTTTTTATACATCTTGGCTTACTTTCTAGTGTACATTCTGACAAGTTTATTTTGTACCTAATTATATTAAGCTTTAGAGGAAAATGACAAATCTACTGTCATTGTAATTGAGGCAAATTCATGTCATTTATCATCCTCTGATGTGGATAGCAGACACTTGGCTGGCTGTGTGCAATTACCATCAGAAAATGGGTCTTTCTGACATATCTGAGCACTTACTGTGCATTACTTTTTCTTTTATAAAAATGTATATCCCATCAAGATTAGAACTTTTAAGCCAATTGACTAAACATTGACTTACTGGTGTGCACCTGGTATACAATCTTAACTAAATTATCATTAATTTAGCTAGTACAAGGGTATTTTTACCAATATGTAGCAGTGTCCATTCAACCTTTTTACTTCTCTTTTTGTCAATAATAAAACAATGTGTTAAGCACAATATCTTCATGTTGCAGCACATTATCAATACATCGCTTATTGTGTGTGATATTGAAAAATGACTGAAAGCAGCCTTTTTGTCAGACTCTTTATGAAATACACTTTTAGTTTTATTACTAATATGGGCATTTTATGCCTCATTCAAATTTGACCCATTTGCCTCATTCAAAGAAAGTATTTTTTGTTCAGCCAGTCTTGTTCCTAATTGATTAAACCCTAAATTTCTGTATGGATTTTTAAAACTTTGGACTTGACAAAATTCAAGTTGACCCAGTTCATGGTATTGAGGCTGTATTAGCCTCTAGCTCCTTGATAATCAGAAATTACTCCAAACTTTTCTGCCTCCCAGTTTTTGCTGTTCTCCTGTGAATTCAGTATTGCTGTTCAATTAGCCCCCCTCCTGTGAATCCAGTCATACTATCTATCAGCTTTCTTCAATCCCGTGTGATTCATGAATTGCTGCTTGAGGAGACTTCTTTTGATGAAACAATAAATCGAAACTGTCAGAATTCTCTGAAGCATATAAATTGATAGCTTGATTGTATTTAATTTCCTCATCTATTGCTACAACTGCTGCATTGGCTTGATTGTCTGCCCTTTCAGCATCCATACTGTCCCTATCATCTAGAGGAGAGATCGGCCTGTCCACAGGGACACCTTTGCGTATAGTATCCAGTGCTGCTTGGTAGAGCACATGGTTTTCCTCACTATTATCATCTGTCTCTATGGGTTCATCCACTGGGATGGAGTGTTCCCTGCTGGTCACAGTGTTAATAAAATAAGTTTGATTCACATAGCTGGGACTTGTCGCTGTCGTTACACTTGAAGATGCTGTGTTGTGACTCATCGATTTATCATTAATTCCCTGCTGCTGCTGCTTCTGCTGTCTCTTGGTTGATTCTGTGATGAGGGTTATGTAGGCATCCCGTGAGGAGCAGGAGATACAGTCTGTGTGGTCAACTGCTTTAAAATCATATCTTGGTCCCAGGTTTGAAGACCTTGGTAGAGATTGAACAGACAGACTGCTTATAGTGGCAGTGTTCTCTGCACTCCATGTTTGGATGCCTACTTTGTGACATGCTTGTGGTAGTTTTTCTTTCAGTTTGTCCCCAAATTTGCACTTAAACCAACAGATGAGAAAGCCTATGAAGAGAAGCACTGTCAGGATGGCAGGAGCCAAAACTCCAACATAAAAGAGTTGCAGGTTGATGTATGTCATGGTTATCCGCTCTCAGTTCAGATTATCCACTATAATCTTGGTCTTGGCATGTCTCGTTGCAAAATCTGAAAGAAAGATAGGAAGACCATAAATTCTGTTTGCATAGATATCAGAAATAACCTGACTATTCAAGTTTGTATTGAAGAGAAGTATATGTTTCCATGCTTTTGTATGTGTTTGTATGCAAGTTTGGGTGCATCAATGTATTTGTAACTGTATGTGTTTATGTGTGTACCTCTGGGACGTGACAGTATTTGCCCAAAACTGCTTCCATTGCTACTTGGTCCTATATTATATTAGCAGTTGAATGAGAAATACCCCAGGCAGACATGTAGCCAACTGCCCTTTAAGCTACTGCTGCCCCTTGCTACATCTGAAAAACATTTACAAGGAAAACATTGGTCCTTGTATGCCCTGGCTAGCTGTGATGAGATTAAACAAAAAATATAAATGGCAGGGCTTTAGTATCATGCTCAGTACGAGAGTTGTGAGAATGAGAAAATAAGTGGTGGCTATGATATAAATAAGCAGTGATTGAGACCAAGCTATATTTGTGGTATCTAGAAAACCACATAAAAGAAGAGAGGTGTATTTTTCTTTTCCTGTTTTTTAGCTAGAAAGGACATTCCCACCTAGAAATGTACATAATTCATGTTAAAGCACAGTTGACCTGAAATATAAAAAAAGGAATGCTACATGAAGAAAACCAAATAGCAAGTGGATTTTTTATTTGTTGAACATTTCTGTTTTAAATACCACCTGTCATTTGGTTCTATAGGTACATGTGATGGCCATTTGAAAGAAATTGTGGGATTGTCTTCTATACTAGAAACTGACAGCATAGTGTTGTTTTTTCTTTTGTGATAATTTTTTTCAAACATGCAGTCCTAAAAGATGTCCAGTTTACTGTTTTGACTTTACTGCCCTTATAAACTGGGCTTTCTTTGGTAATACTACTTTATATCCTTTCATTTAGGCAAGCTTCTGTTGGCATAAATTGTAGGATAAATAAGTACCATATGAAGACTTCAGTTGGAGATAACATTGAAACAGCATTGAATCTTCTACTATTATACCCAACTAATAATACCAAACACACCTACAGGCCACAAATGTGGGGTTTTAAAGCTGAATAATTGGATATAGTATGGCCACCACTAACAGGGAAACATTTGAAAATGAAAGTCTCCAAGCCATTTGCACTAAATTAAAATACTGTTCATTGGCTTTTGTTAGCAATGCTAAATTGTTTTCTGTTGGACATAAATAAGCCCATTCCCTTATTAAGTCGACTGGTTTGATATTATCTGTTCTAGATTGGCATCTTCACTAGTATATGGGCAATAAGTCCTGTACTGTACCAACTATGGGCTGGCATTGAGGCAGACCTTTGTTTTGTTGTCTTGAAACGATTTCTTGCCTTCTTGCTTTTAAAACCAACATCATTACTGTCATTATGATTTTCATCTCCAGTTTGTGAATAAGTAATATAAGGTTTTGTGTTGCATTTATTTTCAGTTCAAGACCTGTATTTTTACAGTCATTATATATTCTTTTACTATTATTTAACAAAATTAGCATTGTTTGTTGGTGTTTCCTTTCCAGTTTCTTTCTGTTAAAACATTTGAAAGAAATCTTACGTCGCAGAAGAAAATAAAGGTATATGTTCTATATTTATTCATCACAAAGCTTTGCCATGGGCATATTTTGTATTTTGCCTATGGAATAAATCCCAGACCTTAAAAATTTTTTTTATTTCAAAGCAAATAATTCACATGCATCCTATGTGATATTGATTAGGTTAGCAAGTGATTTGTATTTTTTCCAACCAGCTCTCACCTGCAATGTGTTGTCTCGCTTCTATCTGTCTTTATTGTATAACTGAATTGTGGTAATGACTGAATTAAGGATAGCAGTAGATGGGTTGTTTATCTAGTTTATTCAGATATCTAGAGAGTGCACCTGAATGTACAGAGAACAATACCTAATACAGCTCTGACCATGGAATAAAGGCAAATTTTCAGATTAGAGGGAATCATTAAAGAGCAGTAATGTTTGCAATATTTTCCACTTGAAAACCCATAACTGTCATTTCAGTTCCATAGAAATTTCATATCTTTGCACTGGCAAAATCTTTTGTGTGCTGGTTCGTTAATATGCTTTGAAGTAATGCACTATGGGGATTAAGTTTCCTCATAATCTCTTCATATTCTTAACTCAGACTGAAAAATGTTTATTAATATCTAACTATTGATTACAATGCTTAATACGTTGAATAATGGTAATTGGTTTTGTAATTCACTATAGAAGACGTAATATGACAACCATAGCAGAGGGTTTTACTACTCTCTTTTTGAAGTACATTGTAATTTTTAACTTAAATGAATCGGTTTTGCGAAACCCCAAATTGCTGTGATTTAGTAGCGAGCTGCTCTTAGTTGCAAGGAAATAAATATAAGATGTGGCTCTATGTTATTCTCACCCGTTAATCAAAAGCAGAATTGCTACATAAGCTTTCATACATGCATTTAAATTATGTTCAGCCAGATTATATCAGGAAACGGTTAGAAATAGGTGATAAGAGCCATACCATATGTTATTTTAGGAAAAATCCAGTAGGCTTACCTGGCATCAACTTTCGGTGAACTACTTCTAATGAGATTTGATTGTGTTGGCATGTTGTTTGAAATAATAGGAAGAGAGCAGATTGGAAGTGGTTAGAAAAATTCAGAACTCTTGGAGAAAAAGCAAAGAAAAGGAAGGGGCAGTTCCTTAAAGAGGAGGAGGGTGTATATATTCTTATTTCTTAAGTCCGGGTAGCCTCATTTTCCCAAGAAATGATTACGTAAAATGATGTTGGTCCACTAAGTAACAGATACTGTGACAGTCAGACACAAACAGTGATAATAATACAGTTAACTGTGTCTTGGTAGAACACTTACTAGTTTACAAAGATACCGACCATGTGCCTACATGCTCAAAGACTTGGGGATTAAAGGACCCATGCAAACAATCATTGAGTAAGTTGAGGTAAAAGTATGTATTATTTATTGTGTCTGGCTCAGGGAGCACTAAAGCAGAGTATTACAATGCCAGCATGTTCACTATTTTGGAATGCCTTATGTCAGCAACTGTAATTAATTCACAACACCTTGTAGGTTTTTGGACTTCCGGCTCAGGTATCTCCATTCTTGGGGTTGGCTCTTTATCAGAGTACAATTTGCTAACATAAACTTTCTCTTAAAAAAACACTCACTTTTTGACATACCTCAGCATTGGATTGAATGGCTTTGATTATGGAGATTCTCAGCTTTTCTAGTGAAGTGAATAAGAATGAGTGTTTGTGGTAAACTGAAAGATATACTCTTTGGTCATTTTGTCCTGGAAGTGATGACCTGTCTATATTACATGATTTTATATCTCACTGACTGTTTTGTTGGCGTAGTGAACCATAACTTTGAAGCAGAGAAAAGGTGATAAGAAGGAATTTTCCCACCCATATAGTTGTTGACACCATAGTTTTGTGGTCAAGGATGACCGGACAGAAAGTTGTTTTTTTTTTATAAACTTATCCCACCCCACACAAACAGATCTTTAAATTGATATATTTTTAACATTAGCTTTTTTTGCAGTGAAGTCATCATTATCTACCCATGAAAAAAATTTCCTCAATACTTAAAAACATTTTGACGATTGTAGAAGTCTTTTTTTTTTCTTTGAGAGGGCATTCTTTTGATCGTTCCACTGTGTTTTAAGATATGATGCTTTTGGTATTTTCAAGATGAAATTCAAGTCTGTCAGTAAAAAGAATGTTAATGAAAATTCAAACCTAAACTCTAAAGTCAGTTATTGCGAAAGCTATAAAAATGTCGAACTGAAGGAATTACACATGGAAAGTCTTTGTTTTGCCAACCAGAATATTTTGAGACTATAAAAAACTATATTTGACCCAGCATGCCCCAGGTTGACCATAAATTATCAAAACATTGAAAACATCCATCAACAGACTTCACTTGGGAGAAAGTATAGGGGAAAATATCTATCACTAGTGTCTGGACATGTGGCTCAACAGCATTCTTTGATTGACACTTTTCTGAATTACATTAAATAAATCTATAATAGCACCAAATGCACCAAATTCCAAACATTCTAATGAAGGCTGACAGCTTCCTGTGGCAGAACAAGTAAATTAGCAGTAGTTGTATTATAACTAATGGGATTTCAGGCAGTTTGAGAATTTAGCCAACTATCGATGAAAACACAAAAACTTGATTGTGGTTATTTAGAGAAAGGAATAACAGGATTAGATCATAATTCACTATGCTTTGAATTATAAATGTCTGTATTTTAAACAAATATCCAAAGTATCTGCTTGGAAAAAAAAAAGATAAAAATAATTTTCAACTACCCTAACCTTAAAGTACATTACCTTTCTTGTCTGGGCGTCAGTCAAACATATTGGTAGTAAGAGTGCCTATCCTTCATAGGTCTTTATACAGTAAAACTTTATGCTATACACATATCTATATGCATAGGAAGAAAGGTGTGCTCATTCCGTCTTGTCCCACAAATACATTGTATGGTACTAAAGCCCATTGGTTGAGAGCCATCCCACTGTTTCCGCATGGTAACAATACTTGGCCATACACTCGCCACATATCTTGTCTTATCATTTTAGCTGGATGAGTGAACCAACATGTAGAAGGGGCCTGGTTGGAGAATGCTTGGACGATTATGAACAAATTGGTTGAATTGAGTGCGATTATAGTTAAACAAGTATTGTAGTGACTTTCACAGGCATTGTAGCATATATTTTGTGGGTATTTTGTCGGAAGTTGAATGAAAGAGATTGGAAGAAATACAACTGAGTGAAAGCTGAATCATTATAATGTAAACATTATAGAAAAATGGATAGCACTTTTTTGCCTGTGTTTGTGGTAAATAGCCATCTGTGTGTTCTGACCATAAGATTCCAACCCCTGTTCCCTTCATAAAAGATTTTAAGACCAATAGATTCCTCACTGAAATAGCCTAAAATTGAACTGCATGATTATCATGTTAACTGGATTTACACGCGTTTTTCTTCTTATCCAAGAAGACATAAAGGCGTTGATATTAACTCTTATGTAAGGTAATGATACATGTAACCTAAAAGGTTTTTTGATTACCATTTTTTAGATTATCAGTAATATTTCTAAGTGGGACTCAATCCTATCTGTGCTTAAATCAATGTTAGACCAGACTTCTTGATGTATAGCTGCTACACTATAGTGTGTATCTAACGCACCACACTTTCTATAAGAAATACCCTTTTACTTGTGTTTTAAGCTCACTCAGAACATTTCACTTGTGGTCATGGTTAGAAAAATTGAGATTATCAGTAAAACCAGTCAATCATTAAGGAACCAACTTGATGTCTGCTTGTGAAATGAGCAATGAACTGAGGTATAGCAAAGATCACAGCTGAATATGAGAGAAATACATACAGCCTAATAGTTCTGTTATACATGTTATTTGCATAAGTAGTCATTGTTAGATATATATATTGCCCAACTGGTAAGGAATCCAATATTCTTGGCAACCTATACATGGAACAGCAGATATACATATTATGTGACATATATAGAAAAAACATACCTGTAAACGTCCGTTTCAAAGAAACCTCATATAAATCGTTCCCCTATATGAAATCAGACTGAACGTGAGAACTCTCCATTTGTGACGGCACCAATCATAAAATGAGGCATAAAACAGAGTGGTGGCATGTAGAAGTTACCTCTGGCGACCACCTGTATGGTATGTGACATAGTGAGTGGGCTCCATCAAGTGATGTGATAATTACAACATGTTAATAACTGACTTCCCCCGCTCCCACTACTTAACCTTTTATGAGGTAGAAAATTGCCCAAATTTATGTAGGTGATCAGTCCATTGTGGAATTTTTATGACGTTTCTGGTAAATTGTTCAATGATGCTCATTACACATAAATTACAAGGTCAGTTTCTGTAATTTGAGACTATTTGTGTGGTTAGTATAATTTATATTTTGTGATATGTTAGAATTTGACAAAGCACAATGGTTATTCATCTTCAAAAGTTGTTTTAGCCTGTGCTAGAGCATTGCTCAGTTTTTTAAGCACATTGGCGAAAATTATAAAAAAAATAATGAACAGTCAAAATGCCATACCTGTGCACAAATCTCTGTCCAGCATTTACAGTTCCAAAAGTTCAGCTCATTTCAGTTCATGTTGATCTCTCTGACAGCCTGGCTAAATGGATTAACTATTACCTACATGGTGAAGAATTCTTGTCGGTGATGAAGTTTCAAACTCCTTTGTTTTCCAAACGTTCCAAAGAAAATACCAATGATTGCTGAATTGGACTCTCCCAAGAGAGGGGAGTTGGGTTAATCATCTAATATTAATTACTCAAAGACTATTGACTCAGGTGGGGATTCACTTGTCCATTCAAATTAATGCCATTGACTGTCTGTAATCCATTCATGTGAGTGTTTTCTTAACCTACCAACATGATTAAGATCAACTTCCCTGTTTGACAGATTCACATCTTGATTTCCCCAAACTCATCAGAGTGCTGGGGACTAACTGGAGTGGAAGGAAATTCAATATTGACATATTGGAACCAATCCACATGGCTTTACCAGGCTTATTGTCTTAATGCTGGGCTCTGACCTCCCAGTGAAAAGGGTCCTCTGATTGTGTGTGCCGCCAGAGAGGGGCTACTCCCAGCGGGGAAACAAGGGGGTATTAAAATGGTGTGAAAATTGCATATTGATTAATCCATGATTCAAAAAAAAAAATTGTCTGCCCCAGTGAGCTTGGCATTATAATCCTGTGTTTTCCTTTGGAGATTAGGAATGAACAGAGATGGAATTTGAGAACATAATTAAGGTTTGATCTCCTGCTAAAGATAACATAAACTAATCAATCATTCATAAGATGTAAATACCTATCCTTCAGCCCTCCAGATTGACTTAAATATGTACAGAGCTAACTGGTTTTAACAGGATAACTTACCTCTACTTGTTTCACAATATTTCCTCAAAGTCTTAAAATGATTAATAGGATAAATATCTATCATATATGGTATAGGATTGAGCAAAAAATGTTCCACAGCTAGTTTGCCTGAAGTGATCACTCAATAAACTCTCTGTCACTTCCTTTCACACACTGTCTCCCAAGTGGCTATCATGATCTGAATGGGTGTCAGAATTCCATCCATGTGACAAATTGGGCAATTTTGGATAGTGGACAGTTTGTTGGTCTGTAGGTATGAAGGGAATGAGTCCAAAGTGCTACATAAAACAGGTGCTACACTGGCCACTGTCCACCAGACTACTTGAGAACAGAGGTTTTTTTGTCTGGTCACATATCAACAACGTGTACACTACAAAACGGGTTGCTTGACTGCACCCTTGATATGGATATGGTTTTGAAAGATGGTCACTCTGCTGTCTTATGCTGAATTTTAGATATTTCTGCTATGTGTATGGAATTTATGTTGATTTTAGAGGAAAATGAGACTGCCAGCTCTGTGTAACATCATATGAGACTAGAAAACCTACAATAATTGGATTACTTTTCATTAATAAGGGTGAAATTCCGTGTGCCTGTAAAACCATCTTCATAAACAATACATAAGTGACAAGGAAAGCATGGTGAATTTGTTCTGTTGTGTAAAAGACTGAAATTCTATAGAACTTAAAAGAAAACAACCAGAAAAATATCTATGGAGAAATTATGTCAGTTTTTATTTGTTCCTGTCCTGCACTTGCTAGTCTGCCACTATTTCTAATTCTACTCTCCTACATGTCCTGCAAGATCTAACATGATTTTAAGCTACCATAAGGGCTTATCCCATTGAAACTATAGGTCCATGTAGATTGATCTATTAAACTGATTGCATTCAGCGAGAGTCTCTGCAGAGTTGGATCGATTTACGTAGACCAATATTTTCAGTGGGAATGAGCCCTTAGTGAGGAGACTTTGGGCTATCTTGGATGATTCCCATTTTATATCACCAAAACATTCTTGAACTTTTTAGCAGACCAGTATTTCATGTATTGAAAATCGGGCTTAAACTGAAAAAAAGCCAAGTTTTAACAAGCACTGTAGACTGAAAGGGTGGCAAAGTTGGCTCTGTTTCAGCAATATGTTCAAGTTCATCTTTATGGCAAGTTTATAATGGGTGTGTACATGCACTTTGGATCCCTGAAACTCTGGGTAAAAAGTGCCAAAGCAAGAGGCTAAGGCTGAGAGTTTCCAGGTCACTCAGGTATTTGGTAATGACATGTAGTTTTGTGTGGATACATGATCATTTGAGAATAGGTAAATGGATTGAAATGACAGTGTATATACTTGTTTGGAGTGTTCGGTGTAACTTTTGTCAGAAGTAATCTGATAAGTCAACCAGTTCAAAATTCCAGACTGTTGGTTTTGTTTGCTCTGGATTTATATAAGGTGTAATTTTGTAGCCCAGAGAATACATGCACTGGACAGTGACACTGGGACCAAATATCCCCTGGCTATTGTGTGGGACATGATAAGTTGGCAGTATTCTGGAAAGGGTAGCTACAGTCCTCTATAAATAATGGAATGTATATATATGTGTCCATATAAATAGAATAATAAACATGTTTTTTTTTTTGAAAAATAAAAAGGGAGAAAGTAAATATACCTGTTTTGATGGTCATTATTTGAATTTTTGGCAGAGGGCATTATAGAGACAATAAAAGGGCTTACTAGTATAAGCTTTACATGATTTGAGGAGCACTCTGCATTTCAAAGATAATAAAAACTGTCTTTTATAGAAGCATAGTTGTAATTCCCATTCTGACAAACTGGGAGAACTATAAACCATAAACAGAAGCAATGACAATCATCCACTTACCAGTATTGCAGTATTGTAACATTGGCACAGTGATAGATAACACTAACAAGAATACAGTGAGACTGATATCTGTAATTAGTGGAGAGCTGTTACCTCATTAGGTGGGATTTCAATGATATCTTAAGGGTGCTGCCAACACTGGAGGATTGATTCAAGGAATGTTATCTTGCCATTACATGATTTAATTTACTTGGGTGAATTGAATCAATAGACAGTGGTGCTTTGTACACATGGTAGTTAATCAGAAGATTCTGTTTTACAAAAGGTCATTATATTCCTGCCATTTAAATTATCTTTCATCTGTAGTTTTGCTTCTCTGATCACTAGATTTTGCATAGTTTTTGCATATATCTTACTTCATAGTGCTTTTGTTCTAATGTGCTTTATACAATACACCCTTGAGTGTCTTTGGAAATACCCATATTTCCCAAAGATTTCAAAGCTGAACTCGATTCCTGTCCCAGTCTGTGTTCAAAAATATGTGAGGTTTAAATATTGTCATCTTCAGTAGAGCAAATCAAACAGTAAGCAAACAACCTATAGAATGGTATTTGATGGATGCTCCCTTTTTACCTTTAAGATTTGACAGGTTTGAAGGTAATGTTGCATGAAGGATGAATTTCCCTAGTGTGGAAGGAGCAGCCGTGTCAAAGTTTTCATCAATCTTCTTCTTAAGTTACATTTTGTCACAGCACACAGGACACATTCTTGACATATCTGTCCTCTACAGACAGGCAGATATATTGTGCATGTGATTCAAATATTGTTTATTAAAGATGAAAGCTGTCGCTGGAACTGTGTTTTGAACTCAACATAAAGAATTCTTTTCAACCTACTTCTGGGGTTTTGTTATGAGTAACTGTGTGATCAGATTGAAATAATTTTTCTTTGGTCATTTATCAACACTTGTCAATCCATTATCACATGATTCCTACTGGAGGCAATAGATGTAATTTTTTTCAAACAGTGGTGGTTCAGCTTCATTTGAAAGCAGTGTACATATGTAAGGATAACTCAAATAATATTGGAAATAAAGCCCAAGATAGGACTCTCAAGGTTTGATTCCATAGCTAGGTTTCTCAAGAATTAAAACTTTTTGGACAATAATTTTATGGTGATTGGTTAAAGAGAGACTTTAATCCCTATCCTTTCTCAAGAAGTGGCAATGCTTTTATGTTTAGGACTAGAATGAAAGATGCTTGATTGTTCAGTACATCCTCTCTCTCCTTCGTATGTTGAATCTGTGTTATGATGCTATAACAGTATCTCTTATAATCCTTTTTTTCCTAAATTTTGTCTTACCCTGTAGGATCTGTCACTCTACAAGTTAGGTTACCTAGTACATGTACATGTGGAATTCTAAGTGAGAACAGCATCTACAGTGTATGAGCCTTAAATTAATGACTACGTACACTGCTTATCATTCAGATAAACCATTTCATGGATCTTCAGTATTTCCAATTAGTTTCATGAAGTATCGAGAATTCTTGTTAGTATCTTACCTTATGTCAGTCTGGTTTGATGTTGATCTCTCCTCTGCTATTTTGCCTGTGTGCAGTGTGCTCCTTTATGTACAGTGCAGTGTGCACCTATAATTATTCCTCAAGCTAAATCACTGTGCTACTGTTGCCTGTGTTTTAAAGTTTACGTGGTTGGAAGAGAACCTAATAGTAAGCAGCCTGTTATCATGATTCAGCATCACATTCCAAGACTGCATTTACCCATTTATCACTCCCTATCATACCTTGCCATGTGATGTAGTATACTGCCCTATTATTGGCACTCTGGACATACTATCTGTAGAGCCATCAAAGAGGGGATTGTTTAGGGAGGACAGGTTGGTGGACAATGGTCATCTGGGTTGAGGAGATGTTTTGTGTTGACCCTAAGGGGTGTGGTTTTCATTAGGAGACTTTCTTATATTCTTTCCTGTCATTTGATGGAGATGTTTAGACTTCAGATAAATGGACACTTTTGGGGATTTTTTTTTTTTTTTTTTGGGGGGGGGGGAGTAGATAAAGACATCTTATTGAAACCATAAAGACCATAATTTTTGTTGATACTTGAATGAAAACTGATTACAGACTAACAATTACTTATTGTTACTTTTTTCTTGTTTCATGAAGACTTGATTTTTGTGAATGAAATTCAAAAGATGCAATTAGATCCAACGCTAGTCCTGTTTGATTAATAAATGTCAACGTTATTTAATTTGGATTTGTTTATTGCAGAAACAATGTGGAACCTATATATTACAGCATGTTTAGAAAGATTGAGGATGAAGGGATCTGAAAAATTAACCCAGATGGTAAGTTATGTTCCACCAGTTAGCATACCTTTTAATATATTGTCATTTTCTTCTCATTTCCCATTATTTCACCTTAGAGTCCATAACATTTTTCAGCATTTAAAAACACTACACTTTTTTGCTACAAGTGTCAAAGAAAATAAAGATAATAAGGTGAAATTTGAAGTATTTTTCCTTTTCATGATATATGAGTAAAATGATCTAGTTTCATGGAGCAAAAATGGTGTGGAAAGACTTTTTTGAGTGACAATTTTGATTTTTCCCCCTCATTATACTCTATAAAGGAATTTTAGTATTTAATAGCGTGTTAATGTAACTCCTTGTCACATTTGGGTGCCAGATAAATGTTAAAGTTATCATTGGTTCTGATGGTCAGGTTACAGACTGCAAAATATGGAACTTCGTGATTTGATCAAATGTGCTTTCATGTTAAAAAATGTCTCTCGTCGTCTCAGTGTATGTCCACAGAACTGTGTTAGTAATGAGAAAACACTGATGGGGCAGATTGAGATTTAAAGTAAAGTTGTGGTCATGTAGACTTACCTGTGGATAAAACCATCAAAGCCAAACCTTTTTTTGCTGCAGAGAGAAGCACTCTTCAAGTCCACACTTAAGTCTGCAAGGGTCCACGCAGAGTGACAGTTAGCATTCCACAAATGGGAGTGTTTGTACAACACACAACAAAACCTAATTATTTCTTGCTTTGACTTCTTTATTTCCGACTGCTTGCCGATGTTTACAATTTAATCAATGGTAACACGACTATAGTGAAGTCACCATTATAACTGGTTGCCCTCTACATTGTGGCTCCTAAAAAGGGTTTATATGGAAGTATGTTTATTTTATGTGCATATATTTGTTTGCTTATGTTTACAGCGGCTGGCCAGGTGTTGTGGTGCATTTCAATGTGCACAGAAGGTGGGCCTACTGTCAGAGAACATGTTTGAAGAATGGGTAGGTCCTGATTTAGAAGTTCACCGAACCAGAAAGGCAGTGTGCCAAGCTAGAAAATTGATCTTTTTCATCATACCTTTTAAGTAAATACAATCAGTGCATAAAGCATTCCATTGGCAATCATGCTTTCTTAATATTTCCTATTGTTATCAATTTAATTTCTGATTGAGAATATTTTCCTTACTAAGTAAGACTGCGCCATATGTGATAGCTAATAAGGCCTTATTTATTGGTCCATGTACCAAGAAAAAAATTACATTGTTTTTCACATTGATCATATAGCAATAGGTGAAAATGCTTCGGAATCAAAATTGTATGGACAATTAATTCATGTGGGAATATATGCTTGTTTTATGGGTGTCAAGAGCTACATTTTCTTATTGCATTTAGCAGTTTATGGATGACAGATTGCAACACACTTTCATCAAAACAGACTTTTGCTCAGAAACATTGCATATATACATACTCTTACAGTAGCTGGCAACTCTCTTGGGGCAGAAATTTTAACAGCAGTTGATTTTTCTCCCTGTAGTGATGTTTAGTCTCTCCTCTTTTACATGGCCTTGTTTATAATTACTCCTGTTTGAAACTCCTTGTCCACATGCATGTTTGACCTCTCTCCCTGAGGGGCACACTTCTGAAGTTTCTGCCCCACTGGGTTACACTTGAATGGAAGTAATTGAATGCCTTAGAACATGTTACCAGTACATGTGAAAATTGCTGTTGCAAAAGTGGAATGTCTTAATGTTCAGTTTTTTTTTTTTTACTGTTTATTTTTCAGTAATCTAGGTCATTTGGCTGTTGTACAAAGAGATTTCTTAATGAATAAAGCTTTTGGTAAATCAAAGATGACTCATTGTAGATTGATACCATTATTTTGTAAACAGTGGAATTGATATACCTAAAAATGACCAAAAATTTGAGGGTAATGATTTAGGTTCTAAGGGATCAGGTTAATGATTATTTTTTAAGTGGAAAATGTCTCTGCTACTAAAATGCAAATTGACAATTGCCTGGCAAACAGTGGCACACTTTCAAACTTAATTTAAGCCTAAAACAGAGAGTAATATAATGACAATATATAGTGGAACATTTACATAGTACTTTCCTAAATATTTTTTTTTACCTTTCACTGACAATTTTTTTTTATAATTTGTTTTCCACAATTCACTCATTAGAATTCTCTTTATCTGCCTTTTATAATTTTGAATTTTTATGCCCAGGTTGAGTTATTAACCAGTACTGCCCAGATCAGCCAGGCTTTGGAGGTGATTTCTCAGGCCACCAGCTTGTATCCCAGGTGTGTCAAACTGTGGATGTGCCACCTAAACCTTGCCATCACTACAACTGAGGACAATCATCAACTCCATAACTTATTTCAGAAGGCACTTAGTTCTGTTGATGATCAGGTAAAGAGATAATTATTGTGAGGAGTAACCAAGAATAAATTTTTAGAATATAGTAACTGGTATGTCCTGATGTTGGTTTAGGAGAAAATTTGAAGATAAAAAAAGATTAAAATTGCTCACTAAAACTAAGATAAAATGTATTTAACTTAGTCTGGAAATGGTTCTCCTTATTGATCTATTTGAAAAGATTTACTTTGAACATAACACTCTGAAATAATAATTTTTTGGGTTTCCTCTCTGACATTGTCCAAATTCTAAGTGCATGTGCTTTTATTTGTATTATATTAAGTTGCATTTCTGTGTTTTTATTTGTCAAATTGAATCTTATTTTAAAATGTATCTTGCAGGATGCCTTACCAATTTGGAATATGTTCTTCCAGTGGGGAGTTGCAGTGAAAATGGACAAAATGGATGATGTTTTGCAGGTATTTTAAAACCTTATTTTCTTGTTTCTTTTTTACCTATATCATCAGTTGCAGAATAACTAATTATTAAAAGAAATATTTTTTGTCTTGTTGTGTGGGAATGGTAACTGCATCCTCTCTTATATGTAGTTTTAATGTTACTGTAACTGTAAACATATCACAAAGGCAGACTTAATTTTTATTAGGCTATACCTGTAAATTTTGGAACTCGGATATTACTTTAATATATAACAGGTGCCATATTGAAGATATTGTTTTTTAAAATTATTTAATTTAATTTCATTATTCATATTGATTGTTTCTAGAATGGTATAAATATGTGCAAGTCCAGAGATGTAGTGGTATCACTAAAGGTGCTGTACTTAGAGTGGGCAGCACTTCATGACGGCGTACACAAGGCAAAAGCAGTGTATAAGAGGTAGGTTACATTATGCATAACTTCAATATCAGAACACCCTTCAATATCTGACCATGTATGGAAAATTATGAAAACATTAAATTTCCCTGTTGAAAAGCAGTTTTTTTATAGTTAAAACAATAATTAAGTTGGTAAAATATCATTTTTCTTTGCACAGCATATTAGTTTTGTTGAGAGGTTGAGGTAATTGTGGTAGAGGTGACATAAATGCAGTGGATCAACGTAAATTCCCAGTCATGCAATTTTGGCCTGTGTATATTCTCACATTTTTTTTCAAGATTTTCTCACAGTATTTTAATATTTCAGTTTATCCAAAGCTCAACCAGTTTCATTAAGCTTCTACAGAAAGTATATAGAAGTAATTAGCTCTCAGGTATGTTCTTTTTTTTTTTTTTTTTCAATTTCAGTCATTTTCTTCTATTACTCTATTGGCATATTGCTCCGTCTTATGTTGCCTATTTGAAGTAATTGCTATTACAAAATAAATGTAATATCTATACCAGTGCAGGATGAACTTTATAATTGAAAGCTCAGTGTTTCCTTTTTTTAATTTCAGTCAGCCTTCAAGATGAAAACTCTACGCAGTGTTTATGAAGATGCACTACGAGAATATGGCACACATGACACAGGCAAGTTGACGTTTCAGTATTTGTTAAATATTTAAAACTTTAATCAGAATGTTTAAACAAGAAAATTATTGTAGTTTTTCTCATGTCTTATTTACTGTAGTTTTGGAGTTTTTTTAATTTCAAAGTGTAAATTTAGTAAAAGTAGATATAACGGGGAATACTTCAATTTGGCATCATTTTGATAAGGGCTAAATGCACTGTTGCTTCAATGTGCAAAACTTGTTAAACAACTGGAAATTATATGAAATTTTCCAGATCTGTGGTTAGATTACATAAGTCTAGAACTGAACCACTGCAAGGGAGAGCCTGAGAATGCTAGCAAGTTGCACTGGAGAGCTATGAAGACACTTGATGGGCAGTTGACAGAAAAATTCATTGCTCAATACACGTTACTGCAGACTGGACATGCATAAGGAATTTTATATTGGATATCACTGAAAACTATCAGATTTATACTACAGATAAAATCAATACACAAATGAAAGATTTAGTATTTATACAGCAGCTAACAAAACGTTATGAATAATATAACTGAACTACTACGTAGTGCATGAGAGTATTTTTAGGTCCATATACAAGTTGCAGTGGTAAGACTAGTATGAAGGTGTTGTTGCCAGTATGAGGTTTTTAGAAAACTGTGTTTTGAAATTGGTGAAAATAATTGCAAAATTTGAATTCACTTTGAAAAATTAATAGTCAGAGAAGGAAGGAGACGCAAATCAGATAAGAATAAAGAGTGAGAAGCTATAGGAATCAGAAGTTCACTTCTTTACATTATTTTAAATGAAAACTTTATTCGTCACTATTTCAAATGACAGTAGATTCTTACTGACTAATGGAAACAAACTTCTCAGTCTATAACATGTCTGGTTGTTAATGATCATGTTTTTGCCTTTCCTCTCTTCAGGTAAAGGAAGGTACAGGCCTCCTGTGTCTGTCTTCTGTGAACTTTTTATTTTAAATCCAAATCATTTATCTCAAAGTATTAGCAAGATTTTCCAAATTACCTTCCTATTGCACATTTCATGAAATCCCTAAGTAACCAAATACTATCTAATAAAAAATTTACTGATAAATAACTTACACTTCTATTAAATAATAAAACCTTTGCAGGCAAGTCCACAAACTTTTTCAAAAATTTGGAAAATCTCTTCAGGTAATTCTTGGCTTTTTAATACAGCAACAGTTCAGTAGAATCTATCATACTTCACAGCAATCATGTCTGCATGAAAAGTAGGAGCTTGCTCTGGAATCCACCTTTTCCTTGCACAACATTTTAACGACTTTCTGGCTCAAATTACACAAGATTCCACTTTTTCCTTGAACATCAGATCTCTCCGTATCATCATGGCGACACAACTGAGCCAGCTACGACTTGTGGGCATCTCTCCAACAATTTCCCACTCATCTTTATCCACGTTGTAACACTCAATGGTATCATGGTATCTGAAATATGAAGTAAATCAAGTTAACGAAAAAGGCAATAAAATTATCATAAACCATGCTGAGTGTTGGTATTTGTAGGAATCAGTAGGGTGTCAATTGTATTGGTATTTTTATCTACCTGTCTAATGTAGGGTTGTCTTTGCATGTGCCTTGCAAATGTGGGAAAAGTATAAGTCGCCTTTGCTTTGCAACCAAATCTTATCCAGAAATCTTCTTTTCTTACTGTACTGTAAATCCCCTTGTCTTTCAGCATTCTACTTAATGGACCGAACTTTCAGATCAATATTTAGTCTTTTACAGTACATTTGTTCTCACCTGTCCCAACCCTCCTCTCCTCCACACACGTAAATCTTGCCGTCCACCACAGCGACACCTGGACGATAGCGTCTTTCATGCATGGAGGCTCTCAGGGTCCACTGGTTGGTGCTGGGGTTGTAACATTCCACTTTGTTTGTATTCTCTGTAGATGCATGCCACCCACCTAAGAAATATCAATACAAACAAAAACTTATTGCAGGGAAACATGCAAATCTATTTATAAACACTAGTTATTTCAGTGCATGCATGTATATAAATCTGTTAAACCTATATTAAAAAACAGGATAACACAGCTTTTTATACATCAAACTTTTTTTTTTACTTTTCATGATTGGGTTACAAATTTCCTGATGTGTGTGTATTAATGTTACATGTATGTTAGAATACTTATCCCACTCAAACTCAAATTACATTTTCAAAATAGCAGCAGTATTAAACACGAGAAGCAGTGTATAGATTTGAATTACTAGTACTTCAAAAATAGAAATTATCAAAATGATTTACATTTACCTATAACATACATGGATCCTCCAAGCACACAGGCAGCTGAGCCTGACCTTGCTATTAACATTGGTGCTAACTCTGTCCACTGGTTAGTTCTAGGGTTATAGCACTGTACTAGATCTATACCATCCCCATCTTCCAATACTGCTCCACCTAGAAACATTAGGCACAGTAAGTTTTAAGTAAATCATCTCTTCTTGTGGTCTATGTTGAAAAAGTGAACTTTATACATAGTTAAGAATATGCTACTAAAGATTTATGAATTCCAAAAAAATTCAGAAATTACCAAAACTAACATATTTTGGTATAAAAGACATATTTCAAGCTGATTTTAGAAAATTTTGGTTGAAGATTCTTGGTAATATTTTTCTTTGTTATTAAACAGATTGATACACGTATTTCTATATCACAAATACACACCATGCAGATAATCAGAATATAGACACAGTGTATGTATAATATAATGAGACTCAAATGTTTATTCCGTTGTAGGATTTCATGCATAAATTTCACTCTATAAAGAATACTGCTGAGTTATAATAATATCTGAGGGATATCAATGGTGACAGGCTTAAATGTGAAATAAATTCTCTTCACAGTCAAAAAGACCTCCATCATACTTACCAGTCACAAATAGTAGGCTGTCATGTGCCACAACTGCAGGACTCGTGACTGAGATTTTCATGGGAGCCACAAAAGACCAACTATTGGAGAAAGGATTGTACCTCTCGACCGTATCAAGTCGTGCTGTTCCTTCCCAGCCACCCACAGCATATATGAATCCATCCAACATGGCAAGACCTGGCAACATTGATTATTCAATTTTGAAAAGTGAAGATACTGAATTGCCCTAGGTTTATTTCACCCAACCAAATCACATTTAGGTTGTGAGTCTCTTTAATACAAGATTTTTTCAGCTTAGTTAATCCTGGCTTTTTTTTCTCTGAAATAGATTTCGCTGATTATTAAAAAAGGTTTTCTATATTGTGCCTTACCTAATTCTGAGCGGGGCATATTCATAGGTGTCATCTCCAGCCAGTTATCAAAGCAGGCATCATATCTCCACATACTTCTGCTAGCCGAGCCATCAGGGAACTCGCCTCCTGCCATATAAAGTTGGTTGCTCCCTAGAAAATCATTGCAATAAATCAATAAATCATCCAAATAATCAACAAGTTAGTAAAAGGGTGTAAGTGCATGCTTTCTTTTTTAGGATTGTGGAGGACTTTTGTGTATTTAACCTACTAAGTCATCCCTTCGTAGCATATAATTTAATTAAAAGTTGATTTCAACAGTGCTTTTTTTTTTTTATAATTAAACCTACCTGAAACCACCAGGCCATGTTTACTGACAGCAAATGGCAAACATGCCAATGTTTTCCATGCATGTGTCTCTGGATCAAAACTTTCCACACTTCTCAGGACAACCTTGTCATCTTCCCCTCCCACAGCTATGATTACCTCAATATAGCCTGGAACATTTTATATCATGTCTTATAACTGTTCATGATGTCATGAGTGATTACCATTATCAACAGCCTTACTAAATATTTGTCACTGATAACATGAGAACTCCAAATATGCTTTTAAATAAATGGCATGAGCAAACATTCTGTTATACTTTAAAGAGAATGTAGTGTAAAGCATATTGAGTAAATATACAAACAACTCTTTACTACTGCCACTGCACTTACCAGATGCCTTCCTGTGTCTTGTTCTTGGACTTCTGAGTTCAGGTCTTCTGTCCTCCAACAGCTGATATGTTTTAGCTTCTTCCACTAACTTGAGGCACTTCTCAGACCCACGCACCACTGGGTGTTTCTCTACGCAGTCATGAAGAAAATATGGACTAACTAAGGGCAAACGAACATGTTCCAATACAGAAGGAAAGTCTGACTGACGTCCATTAATATCATACTCCAACCATCTAATCACAGCATTGAATACAATTTCTTCATTGTCTACATTTAATGTGTCATCAGATATAAACTCTGTTAGCTTGGTTTTAGTTAGATTGAGTATTTCTTCATGTTGACATACTTCTGGGAAGTGTTTCAGTGTGTACTGTTTAGCTTTTTCTTGCAGGCTCTCACAAGCATGTGTCTCAGCAAAACAATTGATGCCTATGCAATTTGATTCATCCATGTGTTGTTCCATGAACATGCAGCAAGCATCACGCACAGGGAGAACTTGTAACAAGTTGGCTGCTGACAGCAAAGACTGCACATTGTCTTTTGTGATGAGGATTTCAGCAGTGTAGGCATAGTTTATCAGAAGTTCAATCATGCCACAGTCCACCCCATTTATACATACTTTCTCTTGTCTGCTTTCTGCCATTTCAGTTGAAAACATAGCCTTGAAGTATGGACTAAAAGAAGCCAGAACAATCTTATGGCTAGCAAATTCCTCTCCATCAACACATATATGAACATCACAAAAATCTCCTGATAATCTCAGATTGTTCAGTCCTGTCAACAACTGTAATGGGTAAGAAGACTCCACAAAGAGGAATTCATCAACATCAGTGAGATCAGTACTTAGATCTAGAACTGTCAGTGCTGCCCCCTCTGAGCTGGCCACAGACTCTGTGCTACTGTTCCGTTGGTGAGGCCTCACTGGCAAGGAGCAGAGTCTCTGTCGCTGTAGATTGGCTGAACGTGGCATGTCGTTAGCTTATTTTTTTGCTGCATCTGGCACTCTTACAGTAAAAAGGTTATTTTAGAATTAACATATTATGTATGATATCAAACAGAAATTTATGTACCTCAATGAGAATTAAATTACTTTTTAGCTTTTATAATAGTTTTAACATTTATGCAGTGTAGTGATGGACAATGGCAACACGTTAATGCAACAGTTTTTGTTCAACCTGAATTATAAAAAACTTATTACATCCATTAAAAGAAAGAGAGCAACGGTGGTATGCACGCTATTGAGTAGCACGAAATTAATGCGTTTAGCACTCCCATTGCAGTCATATGGCAACTGGCTGCGCGTAGGAAGATATTCAGAACGGAGCGCGTGCGCTGAGATGACGTCGCGGTTGAAATTTTGTAAATTTCACAACCAGCGCGGAAATTAAAGAATTGTACTTTATTACCTCTGAAGGTGCTTATGAAAAATTAAGACATGGTAGCAGAGTTTATCACGCGTCTGTAAGTGTGAGATTTACCCAGAATCAAAGTGAAATGAAGGAAATATAACTCGACAAAGCCGGCCAACATGCCGATTATTATCCATAGCAACACCGTAACATTTTGAGATATCACCTATCACAGAGAGTGTGCACCTTATTCCAGTCGATAGAAGATGGCTTTTAATACGCAAAATAAACCTACCAAGTTTCATCAGAATTTATTCTGGCAACTTTTTTTGCCAGCTGTTGAATTGCGTTTTTGACCCTATTCCGCTAGATGTCAGCCATATTCTGACGTCATTTTTTCCAATACAGAAGCAAGTGAAGGTCTGCTGACTTTTTCAAATATCGAAAATCAAATTACTTATCTTTTATTTCAGTAACAAAACTATATTTCCAATAATTATAATCAAAAACCAATGTGTTAAAATTAATTTTACCTTCTCGGATGTCTTAATTCAAAACGACGGTTTTTAGCATTATCGCACCTGCAGTTCTGCGCTGGCGATGAGAGTTCTTCACGAAATTTGTCGTCATACAGCAGTCTGCACAATTTTGAATGAAAAATCGACTTAGCATCAGAGTATCCAGTCTGTTCACCATTACGCACTAGGTCTCAAACTCTTGTTTATTTCCATTATTAAATTTCAGCAAACAAAACGACTTCAGAATTTAGCACTGCACACATCTTTGACACATTTCCACTTGGTGTAGGGGAGTTCAGTTTGTAGCAGACACTTGACATGACTTTTAATGGGAAAGGATCACTTACAGTTGCATGAGAAGTAAACGATGTAAATCTTGATATTTTTTGCAAAGATTTAAAATCGTATTTGAAATTATTTATACAAAAATCTCAGTACATATGTTACTGAGCTGTCCCCCTCAATTCTTTCTTCTACAAAAATGGACTGAGCCGCACACATTTGGAATGTGGCACTGGTATCTTTGATACAATTTGGATACTTTTTGGAGATTTGCACATGGGTCAACCAAGTACGCTTTCCATGGGAAACTTTGTTTACAAATTTTTCACTGCATGGAATGAACAGAACACGTTCTGGCAATGACACCTTATTTGTATCAGGATGCATATATAACTCAAACATATTTCCATTAGTAAAAGTGTGTCGTGAGACTCGTGATCAAAGGAGAAACTATAAAGGGCACAGATACACTTACAATCTTAAATTGGCGAGTTACACTCAGGATAAAAACTGAATGTAAAGTTCAATTTCAGTTAAACAAAACTCAGAAATGCATAAATCTAAAGTCCTTTTTAATATAGTCTATCGCTTTCAGGCTTATATTTGTATGTGTAACAAAAAAGTATCACTAATTTAATTGTGGTTTGGTCATTTTTGAGAAGCTTGCGGTACAAATAAAGTAAGAAAACTGTTTTCTCTCATCCAATCTGCCATGAACAGGTCAAGTATGCCAGAAAACATATTGGCACATACAGGCAGAAAAGTTCTTCATCTGTGAATTCTGAAATAATGAGAAATAAAGAAGCTGACAATAATTGTAATGAAAAAATAACAATNCAAAGTGTTGGATCACTCCGAACCGTCTTCTTCTTTTACTTTATAGTTGAACTGAAAAATTATAACGTTTATTCAATATATATATATATATATATATATATATATATATATATATATATATATATATATATATATATATATATATATATATATTTGCTGAAGTCCTTTCTAGAAATAAAACCCAATTCAAAATTTGGGTCGTGATCAATACCATGATTAGGCAAAGTCGAAGTAAAATATGAAATCCTTTAAATCACTGTTCAGTTATATTATTAGAAATTGTAGCTGTAACTTTAGATATTTGTATTATCCAGTGATTTCATTTTTGGACTTGTGCATTTTGATTTGGTTTAGTAGTTTTCCAAGATCGACTAGTCCAATTTAACTGTATACTGAAAGCCGGAGGAACTGACTATAATAATAATAATAATAATAATAATAATAATAATAATAATAATCATGTTAATAACAATGATTATAACAACAACAACACCAACACCAACAACAGCAACAACAACAATAATGATAATATATCTACTTAAATCACAAAAAAAAAAATAAATAAAATAAATAAATAAATCAGCACAGGAGTTTTCAATATTTTCAGTTCTAAAGCATTACACAACTTACTGAAGATTTTTTCTGGGCTGTTATTAAACAACACCGAATTGTGCTGAACAAAAAGTTTCATTCATTCATTTCATTCCTGGGAGTAAAAAATGCACTGCAAATTGTGATAGTTGTTATTCACAAATGCAAGTCCATAAGACCTCGGAAGAAATAAAAAAAAATTGAAAGCAAGCCCGAATGTCTCTCCGAGTATTGTGCACTTTTATCTCAAATTCATGACAGTTTGTTTTTTAAATTTATGGATACTATGGTTCACATAAAAAGCTTCTATTTTACAGATTTCATCGTTTCATTTGCAAGAAAAAAACTCATCTGCAATCAACAATGCAAACATAAATCTCACTGGTTGTCTTTAATATTTTAAACTTCTGCACACTTCTAGGTGGCTAATGCCCCTATTTCACACAGACCACGAATCCACG